CAGACGAGTAAGCAGCCGAGACCAGGAAGTGATTGCAGTTCTACGTCTTTTTGACATCGTCTGGCAAGCCACGCTTTTCGAGCCGTAAGCAATAAGTGCAGGAAGTAAGTAGTGCAGGATAAGTATACAAATATAAAAAATATTTAGATTTTACTAATTTTGTATCTTTCATTTGTTTATCACAAATAATATCATATTTCTAAAACATTATTATGTAAGTATCTTTCAACAGGTGAATTTGTTCTGAAATAAACATCTGCTACTAAGCCCAGAACATCTTTTGATGACACCAGCATAAAGAGGAGTGTTTCATGTATTATCATGAATTAATTAGAGCAGTCAATTAACACCAGTAACGGACAATGGTGGTTTGGACAGGAATGGTAACAGGATGGACATAAACCTCAAACAAATTAATTCAACATAGAAACAGGTAACATGACAGGAAATAATGATGTCATTTACTTCAACTGTTAACCCTATTTTGGACAGACAGTAAAATGTGTATTAGAAATTGTAACTTGTAACAAATATGGCATGTTTTCTTCCATGCTGTGGTAATGGTTTGGACATTTGTTATATTAATATATAACTTTTTTTTCTTTGAGAGGCATTTTAGAAGTTGTATAGATGAAAGAAAACCATGTTCATTGGATAGTCAACTTCTTTATTGCAATGAGTGCGACGTTTCGGTGTAGGTACTCATTGCAAGAAAGAAGTTGACTATCCATAGAACTGGGTTTTCCTTAATATAAAACTTGTGAATAAATGTTTGGCAAATTATAGCTTCTAAAGAATAGAAAATATCTGTCTTGATTTAAAAATAACTTATAATTCAAAGAAAAGAGCATTTAGCGATCAATAATTGAGTTTTAGTAACAGTAGTAACATTATTGGTAACGGTAAGGACATCAGTGTAACAAACGAATGTTATCCCTCTAAACACTTGAAAAAGATTAAATTCTGAAAGGTACTGCAACAACTATGATACTGTACACATGGTCATACTACACAGGCCACTGCATAGATATCATTTTGCTGTTGATATTATGGTGCAATATTAGTCTCCAACAGCCTACACTGGGTGATTATGCAGACACCAGTCATTTCAGGCATCTTGTATGTGACCCCCCCAAAAAGTAGTAAATATAGGTATTCCATTCTTTAGCGGCGGGGGACATTGCCATATCAGTGGCAAACACTTGTTTTTGTTAACAGCGAGATGGTAACAAATATTCATCAAATACAAAGGTTTGGACAACATATTAGCAGCTAGCAATATTCTAAGTACATGGTAGTCTTACAGTTAAAGTCAAAACAGGCTACACTAAAACAATCTTTCAAGGTTGGAATACAATTTAGTTCATTACCATTACTACATTTTGTCCAAACCGTTACCTTAGATTTTTGTTGAGAATCTTGAGATCTGTGATCATGCCAACAGATGAGGGGATGACTGGAAGTGTGAATCCGCAATCTGTGTCTAAGTGTCTAAGCAGATCTGATTGGTAAAGAAGTAAGGAACTTGTTTGATGATCTGAGTCAATACTTAATACTGCCTGGTCTGGAGGCACAAAGGGCCCTAGCTCCTCTTCCATGACCTTTGTTGTTGTTGGAGACATCACGAGTGGACGAAGATTGGGATCTAGAGTCCGAAGCCCCAATGAATGCAGATCGCTGAAAGGAATCCAAAGCTAATTGTTGCAGCATACTTAGCTTCAATTACCTGCTGATATTGGCTGTTAAAGGTGGCTGAAGAACCCAAGGATTGTTGAAATAGCTGTTCTTTGGCTGTTTCCGGGTAGATTCCTAACAGAACTTAAATGGTGGAATCATTCCAGGGAGTCAGATGACCCAGTGCATTCACCTGAGCTTGAGTGGCATCCAATACTCCTTGATAAAAAACATCGAGAAACAAATGTGTTAAAGCGGCCTCATGAGTTGACCTAGCTACTTAGTGTCCTTCATCACTCCCGAAATAATCCTGGAAGACAGGTGGAAGTAGAGCATGGACCCCTACAGCGAACCAGTTAGTTAGGAAATAAAGTTTGCTCTACCCCAATGTGTTTTGTAATAAAGTATAGTTTTCCCCTGAACTATTATAATTAAAGCACGAGGACGTTAGTCCGAGTGCTTTGATGTTATAATAGTTCAGGGCAAAACTATACTTTATTACAAAACACATTGGGGTAGAGCAAACTTTACATCTTTTCTAAGATGCTAAATTTAATTCTTTCTAAGGATAATTACGATTAAATTAAGGCAGAAAACAAACGACGTTGTCGGTGGCCTAAATTAAGAATGCTCGCACAGGGCTTACTGGCGCGCTGTTCTATTGATATGTCTGCCCCCCTACGTTAAGACGAACGTTACCAGAAAAAAACAAATGATAACAGTTTGATGACAGTTTACGTTCGGATTAAATATCTTCTCTGAATTATTTTAATTACATCTGTCATTAACGTAAACCATATGGGGCAATATGAATGTCGCATTTCTACTACCAACGTAAGTTTAGATCAGTACATCCAGATGAAGCTGAGTAGTCAAGGGACATTCCACGATTGCATTGTGGGAATGTAAACATTGCGAACGTTACCGTGTCGCTGAAAACTTGTGAGTCGAATTGACACATTTTAACGGTCGTAAAACATAAATGTAATGTTTCCACCAGTGATGTTAGCTGCGTGAAGCAACTGCATACCAAGAAATGGGATGCAACGGAGTAGTTTACTGTAGGAGGCCGTACGAGGCGATGACAACTGACATGCATCGTGACGTCGCTTACATTGTGACGTAATGTAAAATGGTTCGATTACGAGGGGGCACACTAGAATGGCGCAGTGACGGGATAACGTCATTCAATTGTTACGTCATCAAAAAACTATACCTTTATTGTCTGATAATGTATTTTTTTGTCGATTGTTCTAAACGCTAGGCATCTTAGAATGTAGCATAATCTTGACTGATGATGTAGCTACTTGATCAAATTCACGTAAATCCTTTTTGGAAGATGGACGAAGGGATCCTTCTTGGCCTTAGAGTCAAGTTGGGTAAAGTCTCTGTCCAGCTCTGGTGGAAGTCTGGTTTCAAAGGCAGAGTACAGAGGTAAAATCCATGTAGAAGTTCTAACTTCTCCCGAAATGTCTAAGTAGGTGCTTAATCTTCCTCAGAAGTGTCCGTGGAAGGCATATTTAACAAACCCTCTATCATGACAATCTTTGTGTGCCACACAAGGTAAACACTGGGACCCTCCGAGTCCGTGAAGTCTGGGGCAAGTGGGATGATTGGTGGGTTATCTATCACCATGTGCCCTTATGACACTGACCCACAATTGCCGGCCGAATCTCTCTGGGCTGACCCCAGAACGTGACCTGATCATGGGCCACTGGGTCAAGCCCGTTGGTCTTTTGCCCGTGCAGGAACAGCAGCCTGCCGAGCGGGCCCACCAATAATGGCCCATGAGGCTTGTGCTTTGGGTAAATCCTACTGTCTGTCGACCCTGTCAACATTGTCCTGCCCGCTCGAAGACTGCTGCCTCACCCACGGAGATCAGCGCTCAGCTTCAGACTCGGTACACAGCTTTCCCATGTAGAGCACCAAACCATCCTAAGGGTGATGACTCTGGACTATGGCGTCGTACGTTTCTGGTCCGCTTATGTGGTCTGCCCTTGTAACATGTTAAACTTAGCCTAAGTCCTTGACTAGATATCTGCGAGGGACTAATTCATGGAGGCGTTAAGATCTTTCTTAAAAGATGAATAACGCCGTAATGGCGTCAAGATTTGTAGAGAGAGATTGAGAAGAGGATTTAACATGTTTAGGGGGGCTCAAAAGACAAAGAAAACTTCATTAGGATTAGAACAAGCAGCGTCCATTTTAACCCAGTCTTCATCAGATAAACCTTGACAGAGCAAGCAGCGACATGAAGGTCCTATATGATACACATGGTACATAAAGAGTGAGGGTTCCCATCCGACATAAATTTTTTACACCGGAAAATGGCAAAAAACGAGTCCAATCACAAAGTCAAAGTCACCCAAAATTCACACAAAACTTGCGATTGTTCAAAATCCAATATTATAACACTGACCAATCGATGCAATGAAAAAAGTTTAAGAAAACTTAAGATTCACTTCCAATCTGTAAACACGTCCTGTATGTGGCCCTTACAGAAATATTATGAGGATTTCAAATGGCTGTGCTGCAATGTCACAGCTAATGGAGATAATTACACTTGACGACAAAGGCATACCACTAAAGATAACTTTGACTTAGCTTATTTTTTCATTTCCATTTCTGCATGTCTCACAGATAAAAGGCAAACATTATTCAGAGGGAACATTTATGATAATAATTATATACATTAATATGCCTGATATATGCTTTAATATGCTTGTATATACATTAATATGCCTGATATATACTTTAGTATGTTAAATGATTCCATGCATTCATAGATTGTAGGTCCCTAGTTGGATTGTCACCTTGTTTTTGAACAGACGCTTGAAAAGTAATTAAATCTGATCACCTGACACCTCACAAATATGTACGTAGCACTGCTCTACAACCACTGCACTACAACCTGGCTGAGTAGGGGGCAACGGACACATCTTTATCCCTGTAAGACTGTGAGCCAATAATGAGGAGGGCACAGCTGCTGATGCATCAGAGTCATGTACACAGGTCGTATTTGCAAATGTTTGTCCGATCACAGTGACAGGATCAATACTTCTCATTCTATATTCATGCACTGATGGCAGTGAGAGCTGACTCCGGACAGGTAAACTGTACCCAGACCTGCTGCAGTGTTCACATGGTTGTCTGAACACAGGGGACACGGCAGTGGGAGCAGTCCACCACGCCGTCGACTTCAGCCCTGGTACAGCCATACATGAGCTGCGTGAACATGGACATGTGTGCCTCCTCTGTCTTGTGAAAGATGCAGCTGTTCATGGAATGGTGATTCTGTAAAGTGACAGTATGCTTCCTGTTTTCAGGGTACAGGAATCCGATGGAAATTTCTTTGAGAGCTTTACAGCTCTAGCCTGGAGGCAGGAAAATAAACGCCTTCGACTAGCAAGTGAGGTAAGACAACTCCTTATGTATGATTCTCTTACTAAGTTGAAGAAGCTAGATGATTTACAAGATCAATTTCCCTAACACTGAAATCACAAAAATTCCCTGTATACCTCTAGTAGGATACACATCTAGGTACATAACCACTGACATTCCCTAAACACCTGTAGTAGGATACACATCTAGAGACATCACCACTGACATTCCTTAAACACCTGTAGTAGGATACACATCTAGAGACATCACCACTGACATTCCTTAAACACCTGTAGTAGGATACACATCTAGGTACATAACAACCTTGTTTCAAAGCATATGATGACCAAATGCAACTGTACATATTTGCTTATTTCAGATGGCTCCATGCAATGGTAGGCATAACACATTTACTATTGACATAGTTGAGACTGACTAACAAAGTTCATCTTTCAACACAGAGTGAACCAGTACTGCTAACATGTTTGCATGAGGACATTGTTCATGCCTGTTGTATTTCACCCAGGAACTATGCTACTAACACCAATGAGAATTGCTGATATGGTTGTATTTCACCCAGGAACTATGTTACTAACACCAATGAGAATTGCTGGTATGGTTGTATTTCACCCAGGAACTATGCTACTAACACCAATGAGAATTGCTGGTATGGTTGTATTTCACCCAGGAACTATGCTACTAACACCAATGAGAATTGCTGGTATGGTTGTATTTCACCCAGGAACTATGTTACTAACACCAATGAGAATTGCTGGTATGGTTGTATTTCACCCAGGAACTATGTTACTAACACCAATGAGAATTGCTGATATGGTTGTATTTCACCCAGGAACTATGTTACTAACACCAATGAGAATTGCTGATATGGTTGTATTTCACCCAGGAGCTATGTTACTAACACCAATGAAAGTCTCATTCATGCAGACCTTGGGGAAGAGTGCCTGTAACCTCATTGATGCAGTACTTGGGGTAGAGTGCCTGTTACCTCATTAATGCAGGACTTGGGGTAGAGTGCCTGTAACCTCATTGATGCAGTACTTGGGGTAGAATGCCTGTAACCTCATTGATACAGTACTTGGGGGAGAGTGCCTGTAACCTCATTTATGCAGTACTTGAGGTAGAGTGCCTGTAACCTCATTTATGCAGTACTTGAGGTAGAGTGCCTGTAACCTCATTTATGCAGTACTTTGGGGGAGTGCCTGTAACTTCATTAATACAATACTCACTGTAGAGTGCCTGTAACCTCATTGATGCAGTACTTGGTGTAGAGTGCCTGTAACCTCATTTATGCAGGACTTGGGGTAGAGTGCCTGTAACCTCATTTATGCAATACTCCAGTCCATGTAGAGCGCATGTAACCTAATTGATGCAATACTTGGGGGTAGATCGCCTGTAACCTCATTGATGCAGAACTTTGGTAGAGTGCCTGTAACCAAATAGATGCAATACTCCATGTAGAGTGCCTGTAACCTCATTAGTGTAGTACTTTTGGGAGAGTACCTGTAACCTAATAGATACAGTACTTGGGGGTAGATCGCCTGTAACCTCATGGATGCAATACTCCTGGTAGAGTGCCTGTAACCTCATTGATACGGTACTCCCTGTAGAATGCCTGTAACCTCATGGATGCAATACTCCCGGTAGAGTGCCTGTAACCTCATTGATATGGTACTCCTGGTAGAGTGCCTGTAACCTCATTGATGTGGTACTCCCTGTAGAATGCCTGTAACCTCATTGATGCAGTACTCCCGGTAGAATGCCTGTAACCTCATGGATGCAATACTCCTGGTAGAGTGCCTGTAACCTCATTGATACGGTACTCCCTGTAGAATGCCTGTAACCTCATTGATGCGGTACTCCCGGTAGAGTGCCTGTAACCTCATTGATGCGGTACTCCCGGTAGAGTGCCTGTAACCTCATTGATGCAGTACTCCCGGGAGAGTGCCTGTAACCTCATTGATACGGTACTCCCTGTAGAATGCCTGTAACCTCATTGATGCAATACTCCCGGTAGAGTGCCTGTAACCTCATTGATATGGTACTCCTGGTAGAGTGCCTGTAACCTCATTGATGCAGTACTCCCGGTAGAATGCCTGTAACCTCATGGATGCAATACTCCTGGTAGAGTGCCTGTAACCTCATTGATACGGTACTCCCTGTAGAATGCCTGTAACCTCATGGATGCAATACTCCCGGTAGAGTGCCTGTAACCTCATTGATATGGTACTCCTGGTAGAGTGCCTGTAACCTCATTGATGTGGTACTCCCTGTAGAATGCCTGTAACCTCATTGATGCGGTACTCCCGGTAGAATGCCTGTAACCTCATGGATGCAATACTCCCGGTAGAATGCCTGTAACCTCATGGATGCGGTACTCCCGGTAGAGTGCCTGTAACCTCATTGATGCAGTACTCCCGGTAGAGTGCCTGTAACCTCATTGATGCAGTACTCCCGGTAGAATGCCTGTAACCTCATTGATGCAATACTCCCGGTAGAATGCCTGTAACCTCATTGATGCGGTACTCCCGGTAGAGTGCCTGTAACCTCATTGATGCAGTACTCCCGGTAGAGTGCCTGTAACCTCATTGATGCAGTACTCCCGGTAGAATGCCTGTAACCTCATTGATGCAATACTCCCGGTAGAATGCCTGTAACCTCATTGATGCAGTACTCCCGGTAGAATGCCTGTAACCTCATTGATGCAATACTCCCGGTAGAGTGCCTGTAACCTCATTGATGCAGTGCTTGGGTTGGAGGGGCTTTGACCTATTGATACCACAGTGAGGCTACCGTATAGGACAAGCTCTCTTACTTAATCTTCTCTCTATTTCAGTAGAATTTTCATTTTCGCTTTCATGTTCCGATCAAGAGCTGCCAAGCTTTGCCAGTCTGTGGTTGTGTTTACTCATTCCTCTCAACAAACTGTTTTCCATGTTCTTGGTCATACTTGAACTTTCAGGAATAACAAAGACATTTCACCGTTGCCTGGAAACAGGGAGTGATAAGCATCCTGCATTTTTCAGCTTTGTTGAACAGATCAGATAAAATAGTTCCATGTAAATCCTTCAAGAGTTTGATGTATTTTATAATCATCCTGTAGGATTTTTAGTCCAATTAAAAACAAATAGTAAATGCCAAAGTTGATGTGAAAGTTGTGTGAGTGTGTGAGATCTACATATTGTCCTTCTTCTGACTTGCCGATAAGGCTTAGTTCTGATGTAGTGCACCTGCAGGCATCTTCCCTTCTTCTGACTTGCCGATAAGGCTTAGTTCTGATGTAGTGCACCTGCAGGCATCTTTCCTTCTTCTGACTTGCCGATAAGGCCTAGTTCTGATGAAGTGCACCTGCAGGCATCTTTCCTCCTCCTGACTTGCCGATAAGGCTTAGTTCTGATGTAGTGCACCTGCAGGCATCTTTCCTCCTTCTGACTTGCCGATAAGGCTTAGTTCTTATGTAGTGCACCTGCAGGCATCTTTCCTCCTCCTGACTTGCCGATAAGGCTTAGTTCTGATGTAGTGCACCTGCAGGCATCTTTCCTCCTCCTGACTTGCCGATAAGGCTTAGTTCTGATGTAGTGCACCTGCAGGCATCTTTCCTTCTTCTGACTTGCCGATAAGGCTTAGTTCTGATGTAGTGCACCTGCAGGCATCTTTCCTTCTTCTGACTTGCCGATAAGGCTTAGTTCTGATGAAGTGCACCTGCAGGCATCTGTCCTCCTCCTGACTTGCCGATAAGGCTTAGTTCTGATGTAGTGCACCTGCAGGCATCTTTCCTTCTTCTGACTTGCCCATAAGGCTTAGTTCTGATGTAGTGCACCTGCAGGCATCTTTCCTCCTCCTGACTTGCCGATAAGGCTTAGTTCTGATGTAGTGCACCTGCAGGCATCTTTCCTTCTTCTGACTTGCCGATAAGGCTTAGTTCTGATGTAGTGCACCTGCAGGCATCTTTCCTCCTCCTGACTTGCCGATAAGGCTTAGTTCTTATGTAGTGCACCTGCAGGCATCTTTCCTCCTCCTGACTTGCCGATACTGCAGGCATCTTTCCTTCTTCTGACTTGCCGATAAGGCTTAGTTCTGATATAGTGCACCTGCAGGTATCTTTCCTTCTTCTGACTTGCCCATAAGGCTTAGTTCTGATGTAGTGCACCTGCAGGCATCTTTCCTCCTCCTGACTTGCCCATAAGGCTTAGTTCTGATGTAGTGCACCTGCAGGCATCTTTCCTTCTTCTGACTTGCCGATAAGGCTTAGTTCTTATGTAGTGCACCTGCAGGCATCTTTCCTCCTCCTGATTTGCCCATAAGGCTTAGTTCTGATGTAGTGCACCTGCAGGCATCTTTACTTCTAACTTGCCGATAAGGCTTAGTTCTTATGTAGTGCACCTACAGGCATCTTTCCTCCTCCTGACTTGCCAATAAGGCTTAGTTCTTATGTAGTGCACCTGCAGGCATCTTTCCTTCTTCTGACTTGCCGATAAGGCTTAGTTCTGATGTAGTGCACCTGCAGGCATCTTTCCTCCTCTTGACTTGCCGATAAGGCTTAGTTCTCATGTAGTGCACCTGCAGGCATCTTTCCTCCTTCTGACTTGCCGATAAGGCTTAGTTCTGATATAGTGCTTCTGCAGGCATCTTTCCTTCTTCTGACTTGCCGATAAGGCTTAGTTCTTCAGGCATCTTTCCTTCTTCTGACTTGCCCATAAGGCTTAGTTCTGATGTAGTGCACCTGCAGGCATCTTTCCTCCTCCTGACTTGCCGATAAGGCTTAGTTCTGATGTAGTGCACCTGCAGGCATCTTTTCCTTCTTCTGACTTGCCCATATAAGGCTTAGTTCTGATGTATGTGCACCTGCAGGCATCTTTCCTTCTTCTGACTTGCCGATAAGGCTTAGTTCTGATGTAGTGCACCTGCAGGCATCTTTCCTTCTTCTGACTTGCCGATAAGGCTTAGTTCTGATGTAGTGCACCTGCAGGCATCTTTCCTTCTTCTGACTTGCCGATAAGGCTTAGTTCTGATAT